TTGGAGAGGGTGGAGAAAGGGGAGAGAGTTGAATGCTGGTTGGGCGGCATCACCACCCGTCCCAATACTTGGCGGGGGCAGGATGATACCTCTGGTCTTCATTCAACTAACTGCAGGCGTGGAGAAATTTGCGGGAAAAGGAGACCTTACGAGTGAAGTACGTGAGCTGAAGGATTTGAGCATCATGGGTGACCAGGAAAAAATGTTGGGTCTACTTCCAGCATACACAGAAGAGAGTATCAGTGACTGTCAGGCAACTAGGCCGCATTTATTTCATTATCAACCCCCTCTCCTATCTCCAGACTTCTTGACTTTGCCTTGACACTGGGCCCAGATGAAGGAAGTGGAGAGAGGGAGAAAGCGAGTGAGCTAGATGCATCGCAAATCGGTTCTCACTATAATTCAACACGATTCACCGTCCTGCACCAATCTGCCCTAGAGCACGTGGTGAGCATGGTCTAATCCGATGGTTGAACTGACATATATTATCAGTTAATAGTAATCCACACAAATCCTGGTAGAATGTTTGCAAAAGAAGAATTTTATCAAACAAGTCAGCTGTTTGCTTTTAATTTGTCATACCTTTAACAGTACAAAATTAAGCAAGAAGAGAGATGGAATATGGAATGCGAATAGGGATTCTCATAATGCGGAAGAAGCGAACGTATCCGCCAATATATTAGAGTGAAAGGTGTCCCATAATAATAGAAAAAAACGACGAATTTGATCTCTACAATCCCACAGAACGTTGATTAGATTGAAATATGTGCATAGTACATACTTTTTGGCGGTCAGAAAGAAGTTAGTTAAAATGTCGGTATCATGTCGTAACTGAAATGATTTTAGAATAGGCTACACGACCTTACTCAATGCCGATTAGCGAATGAACATAAATCTTTCGCAAATGTCAGCATGGTGCACAAATTCTAAGCAGTGCTGTAAACGCCAGGATTTCTGAGAGTCGTATCAGAGGGCATGACCTGCAACACCCAAACTAAGCAGCCTAGCTGTCTGCAGATATCCATCAGATGGGTGGCAGCTGCCAGCCCTACTGGCATGACGAATGCCAAAACAGTCTAAAGGAGAGCGTTAACGAACCCAAACAAGAAGAATATTTAGATGCGTATGGGGAGGAGATGGAAAGCAATGACAATATAGAGTCGTCGGATATTGACAGGCCTTAGTCAGGCCAGCTCCACTGGCAGCCTTATCTGGAGCCGACTTCATACGTGCATATTTATGTGCTCGTTAGATCTTATAAAGTGGCAGATACCTCTGGACTATATGAACTCAAATGACTACCATCACTAATATTGCAGTATTCCTCCTGCAATGTATTGTCATACGCTTGTCCTTTAGTACCGTACCTGTAGTGTACCTATTTAGACAGGTGATGTTATGTAAATTGTAAGCTAGAACTAGGCACTGTAGACAGTCAAAGATAGCCAAGAAGAACAGCAAATGCCTCTTTCTTACGATCTGAATGCATGGTAGATCTTCATCTATTATTAAATACACGTTTCTTTAAACCTGCTGTTTACTATAATCCCGCTATAGATTACGACTACATACTAGGTTCAAATTTCCTGCGTGCACGTACAGGCCGCATTGGAGTATACTAATTACTAGCCTCAAGAAGTATAATTCCTAGAACTTGCATTACTGATATTAGCATATTATTTCTGGCAGCAGTATCTTAGTCCTCGTAGCCTACAGTTTAGGAAAAACGGACACACTTTTGGTGAAGAGGTAGGAGTTAAAAACTATGGCGAGCATTGATGTGACCGGAGCCTCAAACATCTATTTTACTTGGAAGAGCATAAATCTAGGTCCCAAATCCTAGTTGAGATCGAGGGAACACAAGCCCAAAGCTGACTCTAATCAGCATCATTTCTGACCAATTATTAACGGCAGTAATAGTACCAGCATCACTATCACTCAGCTACACTGCTAAGAAGTAGCAGTGTAAACCGTAATAGCATAAGCAGACTCGGTCTTCCTGAGTCTTTATGAACACCTCATGAAGGTAAGTGAGGGTAGGAAGTGCAAAAAGCTACGGTCACTTATAATTAAGTTGAGCGGTGTTTCTGGGCTAAATTGGCAAAAGCGGCTTACGCGTGATTCCTACTAGGTCACCTTGACTCTGTCTTGTCACCGGTTCAAGCGGGGAGGGGGTTTAGAGTGTGGCTGCTCGACTACGTTCACTATACCTGACGACAGTCACCAACCCTGCTCTTCAGCATGCGGTGGACATAATCGAAATCGATTGTCAAACTATCAGGGCAGGCAGCAGCTGCTAGCTCGGCTGACATGATGGATGCCTAAACAGTCTAAAAGAGAGCGTTAAAAAACCCAAACAAGAAGAATATTAAGATGAGTATGGGGAGGAAATGGAAAGCAATGACAATACAGCAGATCGTATATCTGTTGAAATGTGAAGATCAAAATTTGAAGGGGGGATTTAACACACATTTGAGGTTGTTTATTTTGTTCATTGAGTTGAAATTAGGCGCAAAGTCTGTTTAGTAGAGGAGAGTTCAGTTAGAATCAGTATTATGGGGGCAAATAGGGGCGGAATGGGGACAAATCCAATATTTATTGAGATCG